TGGCTCATGTCTTGGACACCTCCTCGTGGAGACCGCTGCTTGGGAATTGGGTTACGCACTTCTCCCTGCTAAGATACAGGACACCAGTCCGCCTGAGTCAGTGAATGTACCATGTGCTAGGCCCGCTGCATTTCGGGTGTAAATTTAATCGAAGGCTTTGGTTGAGGACCCGAGTCGTTCTCCTGTCACGTGTGGTCGCCCTGCCAACATCCTAGTTCAGAAGTGAATAACAAGTTTTCAGTTCACCTAAACAAATCCATTCGACATGCATCAAGGAATTGGGTTTATTCGGTTCCTTCAATGAAGGCATGTTCCAAGATTTAGCGTAGCCTTTTCCTTTCCAAATACGTATACATGTGGAATAGGATAAAGTTAATGTTGTAGTATTGGATAAAGTAGGGAGTTTTACGCCCACTCACACAAATTGTGCGTACCACTGTTGTAGCCGATCTCCATAATACTAGTCTGCCCGAAGATGAGGTGTGGGAGCAAGGCCTGATTGATTGGATTTGCATAAATATTTACTATATTATACACCGCATGTTTTGTATATGCCCCTTAGCTCGTCCGATTCTCCAGCTAATTTGTATTAAAACAAAATTAGCTGTAACCTATGTCGCCGCCTCCGATATTATGCAATTTATAAGACTATTAAAACTATCATTATCTCTTGTGCAGCCATAAGACGGTTCATATTTCTCTTTTTTACATTTGCCACTTTCCTGAGAATCTCTTTTGGATGCAGTGAAAAACCCACCCGCGGATTTCGCCTGGTTAATCTCCCTAATTACAACCCAATAGGCGTTACCTTATCTGTACTAGAAAGTGTACACTTGCGATTGCAAAATCGCGCACCAACAGGCGTGCAAATGTTTTCTCATTATATGTGCAATGCTTTGGGATCGTTTCCCACTGTGCATCAGCTCGTGCACATCTCACATGCGTCGTGTACACATAGATAAATTACCCAAAGTCCCTAAATCTATGCAACTTTTCAAGCTGAATATCCCAAAGACAGAGCTTTTCCCGAAGGGTTCAAAGGGCATATAATGCATGTCTGTATAAACTCCCAGTCGTATATTATAAAGCTTAATTGCTATCATAGAAACTGAGAAAGAAAGAAAACAAGGCAAATTTTGATGCCTAGGCTTCCAAAAATTATCACTTTCTTACTCCCTAGCCATACAAACCTTAAGGCCTCCATATCAACATGGTGGCTAAGGAGGGACGTTAAACCGATCCCTCTTCTTCATTCATCCGACCAATGTTATTTCATTTCTTTACTCGGCTACGTCGGCCTGGAGGCTTTCATACGTACGTGGGCGTCGACGATGGAAGGTAAACCAACCCTCGATTTCACTTTTGGGATCACTGTTATATCGTCTGGTTAACCGGTCATGCCTTTCTTATGACCTCCATGACGACCTAGAAGCCAATCCAGTACTCATTCTCTCCGACATGACGGTTGTTTCACTATTCCATTTCAATTATTTTGCAAACAGCCATGGTTTCTATTGCCAACTCTGTCACAGATACCCATGCGCACCTACCAGGGCACCGGTAAAGATAGATTTACTAGGTAAATAGTTTGGCGCCTCTTTAAATCAGTGCTTGAGTCCCGCCTCGGTTACAGATCCCGAAATATTGGTAGGCCTGCTGGTTTTATTTGGGAATACAAGCCTGACGCCTTCTAACAAATGACTATCTAGAAAATTACATTCTTAGCTAAAATGCATGCCCCTTACCTATGTTTGTTTATTGTATGCTGCTGAACACAATATTATTAACATGTCTCATAGGTTCCACACGATATTTTAGATTTTTGTAACGGACATAACCACGGCAGTCTTTTCTGCTTGCAAATCCTTTAACCGGTCCACCGCTGTATTTTTCCAACATTTCGCTTTTCCCAATGATCGTCCAGATACTGCGGGCGAAATATTCTACTACGCCTGGCTGCTTGGCGTCTTGATTACCTACTGCTGTATAACGTAACTAGCTAGCTCAAGCAGCTCCCGACTACAGTGCTATGACAGCCTACACCGCAAGCCGAGTATATGCATCCATATGAATGAGATAAAATGCTACTTCGCAATATCTTCGAGAACTAGCAAGTAACATGTGATTGACACGGTACTTCGTTAGTTCTGACTGACCATGTTAAAGGACGCGTACACCACACGTACTTTTTCCATTTATCTGAATTGTCAACACATTTGCGCAACCCTTGTACAATTTGATCAAATCAACCTACTGGGACGTGTATTGCACAAAAAAGAAAAAAAGTTGGTTATATATTTAGCTTGTACATTTCTTGAGCACTACAACGGTTCACGAAAGAGTAGTTAGCTAATGAGCAGGTCATGATTAGGTTGGCCGTAATACAAAGACAGTGACAGTCAATGAAGAAAAGGAACAGCTTGCAGGTTCATTGGGATAGGGAGCATGAAGCACAAATATCGAACGCTGATATTTATCTGCCAGTAAGTTGCCGCAACGATTGCTAATTATATGACTGATAGTCTTACAAATTGGAAGCAAGGGCTGATCACACCATAAACGTCGGGTCTTAACTCAGTAGCATGTAAGAAACAATCATGTGCAATGAAAGAATCTATAATGAGAGGATCTGCAAGCATTCTATTTATGGGAATAATTGTTAATTTAGAAAAGCAACATTCAACACTATCTACTATTCGCGTAAGTTAGGCAACCTAACTGGGAACCATTTTGTAGCAAATTGGATGAATAGACTGCGATACGCAATATCTGTATGAGTCCCGATTCAGTGTACAGTGAGTTCTTGTCATTTGGATCACTGGGGAAGCGTCTAAAAGCGCATGAAATTTGAGTGTTGACAACTTGCAAGATTGCACTTCTCGATTGGTTCCCCACTTATCTATAATCGGCAGATGTAGATGATGAGAAATTACTGGGCTATTCTTACTTCATCTTGCAGAAAAGCAGCTGCTTTTGGTATTATCTATTCAAAGCCATCACCTATCCTCCTAGGTAACTTAATCACTCTTCGTCGAACACTTGACAATGACTGTTGAAACACATCATCTGGAGGCCAGTGAACAGACAAGGATGATTTGACCAGAGATTCAGAGAATTTACGAGTTATTGGAAAGTCAATCTTATCTGTTATCTTGCTCCGTATTTCGGACCCACCTGGGGTCCTGAAATTAAGCACAACCGATGCGTTGTTCCCGCAGCAAAAAATTGCTGCAATTCTTTCCATTTATTCACAGGTATATAACACCAGTTAGCGAATTATCCAGAGTAAACGGTACCAAGCGTTTCCTCAAACCTGCACGCCATCGTCTTGTGTTTGTTTTGGTCCTCAACCTGTCTTACACATTTTAAAATGTGTAGGTCCCTGAATCATTTGCTGCGGTCAATATAGTTTCTTGAGATAGAAGCGGGTAAATGCACCCGTTTATGGGGCAAATGAAGGAAGGGTGTGTATCGTTTTGTTGATGCGAAATACAATGTGCATATGTTATGAAGTAATGTACCACCAGACTGTAGCGCAAAAATTCCAATTCAAATAAGTGACAAGAAAAGCATACGTTCCTTAACAGAATGGTTTGCTTTCACCTTTCATGCAATAAACAATTATATTATATTACTCAACGGATTTTCTACAGTTAATATTCAGCGTGCATATAAATAAGTTTTGCTATGTGAACGGTAATAACTGTGCCATTGCTACGGATAAAAAGGTTAAAATCGGAGCTTTTTCATGAATAAACGGTTGCCAGAGTAAAAGGTGTGGCTGTATTGTTTTGATTGAGGGCCGCCTCAGCTAAGAATTTGAGCCTGATACGATTGTCAATGGTGCGGTTTGTGCACGCCTGCGATAACGGCCTGGAACGCTGGCCGATGGAACGGATTCGAGCTGACCTGATGGCGTTAGCTTAGCCCGGGGTACGCGCTGGTGAGGCGGAAAATCACACCAGAGTGAAAACCATCCTAGCCACAAGTATTCGGGTAGACGTTGAGCCTTCGTAACGCACGAGGCTACGCACACGTGAGGAGGTGACGGTAGACGCGCGCTAATGGCTTAGACTCGAACGCTACCCGGCTATCGACGCACACACAAATCACGTGACCGAACCGAGTTCCAACTAATGGCGAAGAGAAAGTAAGAGAAGTGGTCCTCTGAAGGCTCTTTTACTACTAACCAAGGGCGAATCACAGCCAATACTATGGGCCATTACGTTAAAATAGCTACCACGACGAGGTGGTAGTTTTTAAAAGGACATTGTCAACATGTGCACAGTTGTGCCGCGGCTTGGATTGGCTGAAATCTGCTACGTTGGAGGGAGGAATTGGACTCCGCTTTTCACAGCCATTACGCCGGAGTTTGTGGCGCGTTTTTTCGGGGATATTTGACGGTTTTTGCAACATGTATATGATTACAAACTACTCCATAAGCATATATGCTGCTTTCACGCAACCAGCATATGGAACTTACGACCGAAAACAGAAATGTATCACTTATATTTAAAACCTCATCAACTGTTCATTAGACAAAATTCATTGTTCTCGGTAACTCGAAGAAAGCTAGTGGACGAAGCTGTTGCCCACTTTTAAAAGTCAGGTAAATTTGTTTTTACTCTTATACCTTTACAAAAGCCCTGCATTATATCCATTTGAAATTCACCCAGGTGGAACACTTCCATGTTACTGGGCATGAAACATTTAACACATACATCAGCGGGGTGAAGTGTCTGTATTCACTGACTGTCGTTCCAACCGCCGGATTTAATTAACGGCTAAATTTAAAGCCATTCTCTGCATTCAGCTTTTTCCTGATTGTAGTGTAACGGGTCAGAAAACTGAACACTGTATCCTACTTTATATAAAGGAATTTGGTGAATTACAGTACATGCCGTTAATCTTCATGAAAAATAACTGGTGATTTCCTTAGATCCTGACCATGCACCAGAAAATGAAAACAAGGTACTTACTGTTTAGTTACCTAGGAAAATATGCGCAGACTGAAAGCGTAGAAACCACTCTCACTTCTATAGATGACTTCATTTTAGTGATAACCGCAACTGGTTCCGCAGGTCTCATTGGCTCGTTGAGCAACCGCAAGTGTCACCGCCTTCCCTGCCACCTTGTGGTGTGTGCTTGATATCCTTGTTGAGCTCCAGTAGAACAAGAGAGCAACTAGTGAATCGAGATCTCAGTGAGATATCGGAATCCGCTTATTGAATGATATGATAATAAGTAGCTTTTGTACTCCTTCATTTATAGTATCGTCCTTCACGCGTTGTCAAACCGGCTCTTCATTAGGCGCGGATGTATAGTTGATCCATATTATCATAGACGTGCAATTTCTAGGTTTTTAGTGCCCTTTTTGGCATCGCATCAGTCAAACTTAGGTGCAACATCGGCCTCTATCAAGCTTTTCTAATGAATAGTGAACAATGATTAAAAACGGCCAAAAATGATTGTTTGACTAGTCCCGTAGGATGACTGGAAAGATGATTGTATAGTAATTACTTAAAGTGAGAGGAAAAAGGAAACGAGTTTGAGGTGGCTTTCCGAGTTATTCTCATGAACACATGCTGGTCCACTCACTGCTACGTAATGGAGGAGGCTGGTGAGCACACTGCTTGTGTTAATTCGTTTTCCGATGGAAACGAATAATGTCAGATAATGCAAATGAGTTGGTGTGTAGTCCAATCGTTAAAAAGCCTTAATGTGAGGGCGAAAAGAAATCAGAAGGAAGAGCATTCTACGTGCTGGATACTCGAAGGCAGAAAACATTTTGTCGCAAATCAAGCTGACTGTGGTGTGTGGTTCGTTTGACCTGGTGGCTTCTCACTCAGGTATTGTGACTGACTTGCGGCAAATTGCGACAGGCGGGATTGGGGATGGCCAGTATTTGGTACAACATGATGAGGTCTCGTCACAGGCGCCGATATTCACCGGTATACAAACCTAGAGCTTGCGGTTTGCGTTGGTAGGGGATGGGAAAGAATCCTCTAACGGTTTTTGTCGCCCTACGTTGTAGAGCTTCGAAAGCATCAACATCTTGTTTGCACCAAGCTCACCAGACCCATGTAGGCATTAACTATTTGTGAAAATATTGTTGGATGGAACTTCCAAAACACACTTCGTACGAGGCCAATGAGCTGACTGGTTCTGCTTGATTCTTATTCAGCCTTTTTCGAACAGCCTAGATCGTCTTGCATGATTACTCCTAAGTCACTTTCCTGCGTAGCACGTTGCAACTGCTGGTATCATGCTCGATATTCATGAGTATACCGATAGCGAATGCTCAGAACTTAGTATTTCGTTAAGGTAAACTGGAGGCGTCTTTCGAATGAACATTCATATGTCCTGTCGAGATCTCTTTGTAGTGCCGTATGGTCGTCCACTCTCTTCCTGTCATGTCAGATCTTGACGTCGACTGCAAATAGTAAGTCCTACCGGAGCTAACTAGCAAGATCGTTGATGAAAACGAGGAATGCAACTGGTCTCCGTACCGATCTATGGGTGACACCACACTGGACTTCAATTGGCTCGGAGACTGACCTGTGGACACTCAAATTCAGCTGGTGTTGAATGAAGAAACTGCGTACCTAACCTAACACTGAGTCATCGATTTCATAGCTTCGAAGTTTGTGAAGAAGAATGCAGTGGTCCAGGCTATCGACTGCTTTAAAGAATTCCTAGTAGACGATGTCAACTCTTACTCTGGCATCGACTGACACCATTCCTCTTGTTCGGGCTGGTAGAAAATTTGTTGTACAGGACAGAATTCGGCGGAATCCATCCTGCTGTGACACTAAGATGTTGTTACGCTCAAGGTATCCTATGAGCGCCTCGGCGATTACATGTTCCACAAATTCGGATGACACTGGGAGAAGGATAATTGGACGGTAGTTAGAAGGCTAAGCGAGTTTCCCACTCTTGAAAATAGTGGGGATTATTCCAATTGCCCCATTGGGGGAACCTGTATTTCCTCAAGTTTTCGTTGAAAGAACCGCGTTAACGGCGCAGCGATGATCATGGCGACTGTTTTTAATGCCTTCGGTCTTGCGTTGTCCACACCAGGTGAGCTGTGCGCACGCAAGGACACTAAACTTTTCATCACATTTGCAGCGATGAAGTATTTCTGGCTTAGTTCTGGAGGAGGACTAAGCTGTGTCTTGAACGGGTGAGGTGACGATTCTCTGTGGAAAGTGCGGTTAAACTGTTGCCAAAGCGCGTTGGCCGCATCTTGTGTAGTGAGCGCCAGACGATCTACTGCACATAGAACTGGAATCCCACGCTGCGCTTTTCGGGACTTGTTAACGTGCCTGTAGAGCATGGGTACTGGATTTCGTCACTACGTTCTGTTATTGTTTCACTTAGTCTTCGCGGACTGATTGGACACAGTGATTTTGTGAGTTATGTAGGCATCTCAGGCCTGCGCATGCGGACAGCCATTATAAGCGCGCTAGTCCAAATCCCCATGGACCATGCATTATTTTGTTCTGCTCCTCAGGAAGGACTTCATTTGCTTCGGTTTCAGACGCATTTGCCATTAGCCCTGGGGGAATTGGGTGACAAATAGCTTTCAGACAACTTTGGGAGGCAGCTTGGCCAGGAATGGCCAGCTGGATTTTTGAAGGAGTTCAGACAGTGTACTGTAATGAATGACGATGTGAACTTCCTCGCTATTTTCATAGATTGCGCGTAGCAGATGCCGTGAACGATCAGCGTTGCGTGATAGCTACGGCCCAGCGGTGCACTTATGTTTATTGGATAAATCCTTAGTTCCTTGTTGGTGAGCACAAAGTCTAAAACTAATGGTTCGTTGACAGTGCCGAATCTCATTGGAGCGGCGACGTGGTTGTATAGCGGTATATCGCTGAATATTTCTTGCAAGTCCACTTTGATTTGTTCACTGGGCGGAGATTGCGTGTTAGTTGAAGTCGTTCACCAAACGCATACGATTCACCTCATAGCAGATGCCAGACGGTGATTCATTTCCGTGCTGGACCTCAGTTGGCAGTAATTTATTGAAAGGTGCAGGTGACAGCAGAGAAAATCGACAATTTGCTCAACTGTATGGTCGATGATGTCGATATGCAGGTCAGATCGGTATTACACGAGAACTCTGCCTCCTCTGCTGGGTCGATCTCTTTTTAACAGAGTCATGCCGGCAAGGCTATCTCGGCATCAGTTATCACAGCATTCAGCCGCGTTTCCGTTATAATGACGACAACCCAAGGAAAGGAAGGGTGACCAGTACAAAGCTCGGTCAACTTACTAAGAAGACCTTGAGCGTTGGTGTACAAGAATGTGAGGACATCAGATATTAGCAGTGTATATTCGGATGTGGCTTCTAGGCGGGGTTTATGCCGAAACTTGTGGGGTCGGCTGTCGCTCGTTTTGTTGAACCGGAATCGCTGGTCCTCGGAAAATTCCGGGTTAGCATGTAGAATTCTCAGCTTCGGTAGATGGTTGCAAACATGAATATCCTACGGCTGAAGGAGTGTTTTGACGGCATCCCAATTCTGAGCGGCATGCTTGTTTGTTTTCAGCGTAACGTTACATTCACATTTCGCGGACCATCCCCGCGTCCATTGTGGAGGTGCCTTAAAGCTGTTGCATCTGTCGCAACGAGGCTGAAGGCATCATGTCCCCTAGTTGCAGATCTCTAAACAGGTGCTGTAGTCGGACCTTGCCAGAAGGCGTGATTCGTTGGATGACTGCCTGCTTTAAACTCTCATATTTCGCATCGGGAGGAGTGCAAGACATGATGTCTTTCACCTAGGAGGATACATTTTGGGGTAGCCGACATAAGTTGGTGATAGCACAATCGAAGAAATTTTACAATTTTAAAAGACGTATTTTAAATGTGCTAACAGTAATAACTGGCCATTCTCCCAGAAAGGTGGGAGGCTAGCTCTCCGGCATTAACCACGTACGTGGGTGGGTCATCTACTGAACCATATATCTTGAGAAATGAGAAAGAGTATACGGCAGGTGAGAAAACAACGCGACAACGAGTAATGGATCAAAGTTACTGGAGCGAGCTCAACAGAACTCAACTCCAAATGGCGGGCGGCATGTCCTGGACGGGGTCACCAATTGTTGGGTGGCAACTGGGAAACTAGTCTGTAACAATAACACATAAGAGACGTGTCAAATATGGGACAGTAGAGGAGTTGTAGGCAGCTGGACCCAAAGTATAATATTGTACAGGCTGAAAGAATAGGAAGGGAATCCGGAAGGACAAAGGACGATATAGCATGGGGCTCCCGAAAGTAGTTTATGAAAACGAATGTGCAGTCAGTAAAACAGATGGATGTTTAAAGGGTGGAACCAGCAATAAAATTCAATGTTGTAAGATAGTAAAAGAGTATATTTTCAAGTGCACTACAATGGTTGTACCCACCATATTGCACCAAACATCATTGTAACCACTAGAGCAATACATTTTTCTAGAACAGATCTAGTCGTCTCAGCTGGGTGATTAAATTCAATCGCTTAGAACATCAAAGAAATGAAGACACTTTAGTTCAATCCCAAAATTACTCTAATAATACGGTGAATTATGATTGAAATGCACTGCTGGAGATTGTTTCGGTGTGGAATTGATTCATAAAATACCAGCTTTAATTCAATATGGCTCACTTCCTTGAATAATGGTCCGACAGGTAGCTGATAAAATTCTCGACTGGAAAATCGAGCATAATTTTATATGGCCAATCCATCCCCGTAGTTTCAGTTAAACCTAGCAATAAAATTATATCCATACGGCCGTCAACCAGTGAACTTGGAATCCAGTGTTCTTCCAACTTCTGGTTTTCTGAATAATTGCCGCAATATCCAACTTGACCCTGCCAGACTTTAATTACTCAGAACGCTTGCTGGTTGTATTCTTGCATACTGTAACTTCATCTATGGTAGCATGAGGAAGATAGACAGGAACGTTGTGGAAAATTTACCGAGATCAATCACTTTTGCGTAGTAGTACATTCACTCTAAAATATTACGCTAAACACTTCCTAATCAGATGCGCCGGTTTATGGTACAACCTACTGAACACAATCAAAGCATACCGGAACTCGATATCATTCCGCGCTTAAATGGACACTATCTTTGAGCTGAAAGTGTCGT